TTTTTTTTTTTTTTTTGAGAAAACCTCAGCAGAGATACATGATACAAGAGATGTACTTGGGGTCATGGGCAGGGCCTTCTCTGGATAGGAGGCGGAATTCACAGGAGCTCCCCAACTTGTGCACACACTCAAGCAAGGTAGTGACGGGGTTCTTCCCAGAAAAGAAGGATGTTGCTGACGGGGTGGTAAGCTGGGACTCTGCGGTCTGGAGGAAATGAGACAAAAACAAGAAAAACTAAGAAAACACTGGCTAGTCCACTGGAGCAGAGGGGATGGGGATGGGTGAAGCTCTTTTGGGCAACTACACGTCAGGGAATGGTTTCCGAAGGAAGAGGGCTGCAGGATTTTCTGGGCATTGCAGGAAAGGGTGAGTGATTTAAATGTTTTGGGTCTCATTTCTCATCTGCCAAGAGAGGAGATTGGACTCGATAATCTTTTAAGGGCTCTTTCAACTGTAACTGAAATTCTGGTAAGTCCAGTTCGGTTGGGAGAGGGGCAAGGAGAGGAGCTGGGTGTGGGCGGAGGAAAGGTAGGCTGGTGAGGGGGGCGAGGGGGAAGAGCCGGAAGCGGACTCGGAGACACAGAATCCAAGGCTGAGGCTGGGGCTGCTTTAGGAGGACCAGTGACAATCGTCACACTTCACGGACATGGAAGGTGACCGATCTCCCAGAGGGCAGGACGCCTACCTTCTCGGATTCTTTCTCTGTGGGGTAGTAGTATGACTCTTCGGGTCTTCCACTGTCCTTGGCTTTAGCTTCCTCAAGCAGAACTGTCATGGCCTTCATAGCGGCATCCTGCTTGGCCACTTTCTTGCTGCCAGCTTCAGCTGGGGGAAACTCTCGGCCACTGATGACAACTTGGAATTTAAATCTTGATGGAAAGTGATTAGATGTGTGAACACTAGTCTAGGCCATCCCTTCTGCCCTCTCCAAAGAGATCTTCACCCTGAAATTTCCTGCTATGCTAAGGGGCTTTTTGACTCGTGGAGAAGACGGAGGGTAGGCCAATGGACTCCTGTCCCTTTGGAGGCTCGGCCTGTCCCAACTTTTTGGAAACAAAGCAGCCAGTGACTCTCTCCCCATAGCTCATTAGAGCAAACACAGCCACAGGCGATGTACCACTACCTCAGGGGAAACCCACTATATCTCAGCGATGAATTAAAGTCTGTACCAAAAATGATGAGCTAAAATCACTATTACAGTCTTGTTAGCAACCAAAAAGCCTTCACCCTAAAGCAACTATGGTAGACTGGCTACCTCAAGGCAGTTCCTAAAGAAAGCAAAAGCTTCTCACAGCGCAATCTCACTGTCCCCAGACATCTACAGGGATCAGACACCTGCCACTTCTCAGGCCCTATTCTTGTCCCCAATCTATCCTCCGAGATACATCATTCTTATTGTTTGTTTCGAGTCACTCTACAGCTCTATTTGTCTGAAGCTTGGGATGAAAGGCGTTTCTCCTTGTTATATAGAGAACCGAAAAGCATTTGTCCTAGGCCTCTGGACTTAGCTTAGACCTCCTTTGTTCAAGCCTTCAAATTTGTTCAGCTCTTTGCTCAATCTGGGATTTTGTTTAGAAAAGTAGGTCAAATTTCTTATTTCCTGGGTCTTCTGAAATATTTGAACATGACATCAATGTTTCTTATAGCTGGAGTCCAAAAAAAGGTTAACCACAGAGTCCACTGCTGGGGTTCTGGGGAGGGGGATGGAGGGAAGAGGAAGAGAAGGACGGCCATCCGGTCTCTACCCCCCACAGATACAAACCAGTCCTGGCTCTGCCAGTTTTTGGACAGATGCACCCCCTTTCCTTAGCAGCTCTCCTGCAAGGCCATCTCAGTGTCATTAAGACGGTTAAGACAAGGAACAGGGGACACAGCTGGGCATCCCCACCCTTAGAAACCAATCTATGGTAAATATAAAGGTTAGTGTAATTCTCTTCCATCCTCACTGGCACGCTCTTTGGCTGCGGTGTGCAGCCATTTACTTCAGTGGTTCCAGCTCTCTGCTAGGCCCTTTCAGCAGCTCCTTCTGGGCCCACCTGTTTTCCTCAATTTGTCCACTGGCCTGCAGGAGCCTATGGTGCAGGGCCTGGCCAGCTGTCTGAGGCAATTCTGATTTCACAGCTTAGGAGCAGCAGCAAGTGCTAGCCCACCCATGTGTGCAGAGGAGGTGTGTAGAATTAGAACCACCACCTGCAACAGGCAGGCAGCCATGCAAGCTCTATGCCATCCTTTCCCTAAAGGAGCTGAGCAAAAGGGGGTTTGGACCTGCTGCTGCTTAGCAGCACAACCCACCCTTCCTGTGTGTGTGCAGCCTGCCCCAACCCACCTGTTTCTGTACCTCTCTGGGGAACTTCACTTAGGGAAAGGGGGATGGCACATGGAGGGGATGGGAAGGGAGTCCAGTCTTTATTACTTGGCTTTAGGAGGCAGGCATGAAAGCTAATCATCTCCAAAGAAGCTTCATTTTGGCCAACAGGGTCAACCTCCCCCTTGCTCAGCCAAGATTCTGGCTGGTCCAAGGTCTACACTCCCTGCTCAAGATCTGAAGGCAGGGCCAACAAGGGTGATTTAGCCAAAAGGTGGAAAGGAAGAGGGAAAAGACAGGGGCCACCAAGAGTCATGAGACTGCGCACGAGTCAGCCGAGACGGCGTCAGGAGTAAGAGCACCTGACCCCAGCCCTGGTCAGGTACAATTCCTGGGTGGTCTCTTACCGAGGTTCATGGGGTGGTCCACTCTGCTCTATCAGGTTGAACTCACAGGTCTGACTAGCGAACTGAGCATACTCTAACAGCCCGCTGATGGGGTTCTTCAGCTGGCACTCTGTCAGTTTCTTGTAGGGTGAACACCGTGGCAAGCCATGACTGTAGAAGGAGGGCATCTCCATGATGGCTCGGAACTCACCTGGTGCTGCGTGGATACTATTCAAGTCATCTGGGATGTCATCAGTGGCCCACTGGCCATTTTCAAAGTCAACATACCCTGTTTTTGAGGGGCCATTGTCATGAACAGGTGGTTTCAGTTTCATTGGTTCTGGTGTGGCCTCTTGCCGACTTTCTGACTTCACGACAGGGGAAGGTTCCTGCCCATTCTCCACTTTTTCCATGGTTACGGCACTGGCTGAGGCATCTGGGCCGGGTAGGTCACAGGTAGGGGGCTCTGTGTTTCTCTTGGTCTCTGGAAGAGCAGCTGTAGTGGTTTCCGAAACACTGTGTGTATTTCTCTTGATTTGTAGCCGCTCTCGCTTCTTGTCAGTCAAATACCATATGGGAGGGGTTGTCCCTTGCCTGTAGACATCCCCCTGCCTTTCCAAGGCGATCAGCACGGCATTTACATCTCGGGCCTTGGTAAGGCCTATATTTTTTGCCAAGTTCAGGGCAGAGGAATTGATTACTTTAAACAGATAGTCGCAGATTTTCTCCTTAATCTCAGCCATGTCAAAAGGATCTTCCAAGCCAGGTGTGGGGCTTTCGTATTCAGTTTCCAAACTGGGGTCTGAGTTGGCAGTTTCCTGGCTGTGACTCTGTGCTCTTGCTACTTGGCAGGGCTGGTTCCAAGCCTGAACCGAGACCGCAATTCTCCACAAAGGGGGCGTTCCTGCCTCCTGATGTAGCTTGCCCTTCTTTGCCAGAGAGTACAGAATTCGATTGACCTCCTTCTTTGGGGCTCTGAGCTTCCCAGCCAGATCATGTGCTGTGGTGGCCTTCCCTTCCCCAAGCTCCTGCAGGAGCTCTAAGATCTTCTGTTCCTGATCCTGGCTGATATTCAGAGCCTGGAACCAGGAGGAAAGCCTATCAACACCTCTCCATGGCAGACTCCTGCCACGTGGGGAAGGATGCTGGAGCCCTCTCCGGAGCACCTGATCTCCGAGAGGCAGACTCCTGGGGACACCCCCGATCTCCAGTTGCCTGCTTCTGGCAGATGGTCTTGGAAACCTTGGCAAGAGTTCAGGGAGGAACAGCGGCAGTGAGGGTGTCTGCTTTCCAATTACGGGCGCTTCTGGGAGCTGCCCCGTGAGAAACTGTATTTGCTGGAGCTGGAAACTATCTGGCCCGGGCTGCTGCTGGTGTCTGAGCTGGCTGTACTCATAGCCTGGAACTGGATGGGGCGGTATCTGTGGCAGGAACACCCCTGCAGAACAGGAAGATGGGAAAGAAAGTGAACTGGGACTGCAGTGGTGAGCAGTGCCTAGGTCGGGGTGGGCTGCGCCTGATTCCTGATGGGCTCAGAAGGTGAGTGAGACGTGGGCTTGTGACCCCAGCGCACAGGTACTGCCTGGGGACTACCCAAGGGCAGAGGCAGGGCACAGGAGGCAAACCACACAGCTCCCGCAGGCCCAAGGGGGCTCTGAATCCCCAGCAGAGCCTCACCAGCAACTTAGCTCATTTGTTTCCTTCTGAAAGAATTTTAGGGAGTTGAGAATGAATCTTTCCACTCATCAAAAAAAACTACCCTTTTAAAATCAGAAAAATTAGCAGATAGATGTTATTTTGTTTTAAAAACAAACAAAAACAGAATAACCTCAAAACACTAAGGGAGTCAGGGGACAAGGGAGAAGACTGCAGCACAGCCTCCTTGCCTCTGAATCTGTCGCTTGGAGGGCTGGCCCAGACAGAAAAGCGCGTGTGGACCGGACGAGCCGGAACCCCAGTCCTCCAAGGCCGTAACGGGGAGGGGCAGCAGGACCTCCCCAATTCATCTGCTTGCCACCGTCTTCAGGAGGGCCGGGATGCTTTTCGGGGAGCTGAATGGTTTCCTAAGAGAAAAGCCCCATCATCCTCATACTTCAGGGTGCTGCCCGGGCTAGCAAGGGCCACTGGGCACTTTACCCAAACCACCCAGGCTCACCTGGGTGTGTGGAGCTGGCAGGGTTGATTCCTGGACACCCTGTGCCCCATCCTCCTACGCTCCTTTAGCTACCTGCCAACAGCTGCTTCCATGTCCTCCAGAACCCTGTGCTACAGGGAACAAGCTACCCTGAATCTCACATACTGCCACGCAGCTGTCACCCCGGGCCACCACACACACACCCTGCTCACCATCTCTTCCCACTGCTATTCACTGGAGGAGGGTGTGGAGGCAGGAAGAACTTAAGGGACCGAGGGTAGGGGGTGTCAATAAATACCTTGCTGCCTTTCCCTGGAGCTTGTGGGTGGGAGGGGGTGGCATCTAGCAACAATGTTCCCCCCCATGCTTGTCCCCTTGTCTGATTCTCCTGAAGGCTTGGTCGGGGACCTGTAGGCAGCTGTGCCCCTTTCTTCAGCAACTTGAGCCTTCTACATCCCCAGACCCCGTTACAATTAGGGGATTTGAGCACTTCTGGTACCCTAGCCCTGGAGCTCCTTAATGTCCCTCCCAATGCCTGCCACCTCTACCTTTCAGCCACGGCCAGCTTGCCTGGATGCTCACTATCTCCTGTTGCTCTACCCGGGCCACCACCAAACCTCAAACCATGGCAGTCTTTTCCAGCTGTTGAGCAAACTCACTGTAAAGGGCCTGATGGGTCTTTGATTGCAGCACAAAAGCAGCCACACGCTAGATGTAAAACTTCATTTACAAAAACAGGTGGAGGATTGCTCTTGGCCTGTGCGCTGTAGTTTGCCAACTCCTGCTCTTTTCCGATGGCAACTTCCCTGTTTCTATAGCTTCCACTCCTCACTCTTGGGGAAACTGCTGCTCAAGTGACCCACTGTTGCTGTGGGTCAGCCACTCTCCAGTCTTCCCCATCTGGCTTCACACACCTCCTCATTCAGCCTGGATCTCACGGTCAGCTCCCTTCTCCACCAAGGCCCACTGTCCCCTTTCCCTGTTCTAAGCTCCCAAATGGTGCAGAAGGAAGCTGGCTCACGTGAATGGGGCCGAATAAATTCTTCCTTTCAAACTTGTTAGGCTGAACTGCTATTTGGTGGTTGGTCAATTCAGTTCCTCCCTCTCTTCTGTAAAGATCCCTTCCCACGGTTCAGTGACACAGTACCAAAGGCCTCCTCTCACCTTTTTCCTCTCTGTCCCCATCCCTTTCTTCTACCCCTTACATGTAACTGGCTCCCCAGGTTTTATCTAGGGGCCTCTACTTCCTTTCCCAGGTTGAGTGCATCCACTTTCCCAATCTAAACTAGCTCTCTTAAGAAACAGCGTTCAAATCTATTATCTCCAGCCACCACCTTGTGCTGGAGCTTAAGACTTGAATTTTCAAAAGCCTAGACAATCCATCCAATTAGATATACTGCCATTACGTCAAACGCCACATATTCCAAACCAAATTATCTTTCCCCTCAACCCAGCCCCATCTCCCAGTGTTCTTGTTACTGTTAATTGCATCATTCTCCTCTTAGTTGTTAAGGCTTAGAAACCTGAGTCTTTATGGCCTGCCTGCCTTCTTCCCTTGTCTCCCACATCTAACCAGGCAGTTGGCAAGTCCTATCTTGTCTATCACCTTTGTATTTTCTCCTCGATGTGTCTTTTCCCAGTTCCAGCCCCTTATTTACCTCTTACCTGGGCTACCTTAATCTTTCCACCCCCCTACATTCCGATCCAACACGCTTGCTTTTCCCTCTGTTGCCCCTTTACAACTCTGACCCCTTTCTTAGAGACCTCCTCTTCAGATTTCTTCGACTTTTACCTCCCCCAGCCCACGGAAGTTTCCTCTCCTTAAATTCCTCCCACTCAGCACCCGATGCACCACTTACTCTACCTTTTATCATAGCTACTCGTTGTTTCTTTTTTTTTTTCTGTACAGTTTTTTATTTTCCACATATAGAGAAAACATTTAGGTTTCAATTCTTTTCCCAAATCAAATGTTAATTACATGTAAAACTGTTCTGTAATTTACTGATGCGGTATTACATTCATTCATTCATTCATTTATTATTTTGGTATCATTAATCTACAATTACATGAAGGACATTATGTGTACTAGGCTCCCCCCTTCACCAAGTCCCCCCCACGTACCCCTTCACAGTCACTGTCCATCAGCATAGTAAGATGCTGTAAAATCACTACTTGTCTTCTCTGTGTTGCACAGCCCTCCCCGTGCCCCCCCACACTATACATGCTAATAATAGTTGTTTCTTAATGGGACACATAGATTGTAGTGTACGTGAAAGGTGATTAACAATATTAAGTGGCTCAGAAATTATACTCGACTCTCCATTCCCAATATTCCCTATGTAACATTGATGGGGGCTGGGTGGCACAGCAGACTCCACAGGAACCTCTGGGGGACAAGAACTGTTATCTCTGATCTTTGCGTCCCCAACACCTAAGATAGCACCTGGCACAAAGCTGACCCTCAACCAGTTATTTGTTGAATGACTGCATGAACAAGACACCCCAGGCATGCAATCCCATCTCCTTTTTCTACACACAACCCCACCCCCCACCCCCAACCATACTCCAGGGGCCAAGGTGTATGTGGGTACAGAGAATTTGTGACTGACTCACAGAGCTAAACTATGGGAATTTTAGGGGATTTCTGATTAGTGCTTTGAGTGACCTTGGTAAAAGAACTTTGTTTCAAAGTGACTAGGGCCAGTCCCTAGTTAAAAGCGCTCTAGATTTAAACTGCTACTTCTTGGTCGAAATCTGCAAAATATTTGAATGTCCATCTGTAGAAAAGGAACTGAATACATTATGGCATTCATGCTATGGAATGGTATTCACAGTTAAATGTGTTACAGTCTATTTGTATTCAACAGAAGAAAATTTGGGAATGACATAAAAGTTAAATTAACAACAAAAAACCCCACCAGTATGGGTGGTGTGCATGTGTGCACGCAGTAGAACAGAGAAAAGAAAGGATCCATGAATGCTTTCACAAGAGTTATTTTAGTTAAAGATTAGAGGGAGATTACTGATTTTTTTCTTTATATCCCCTTAAGTCCCCTAAAAGTCAAGGCAAGCCAAGCCAAACCCCACCTGAGAACAGCCATTTGGAGAACAGAATAAGGGCAAGAAAGTGGGAATCCAACCCATGGACTACTCAGCATCTCTGCTGGCCCACCTCCTACCTACTACTATGCAGACTACGTAACAAGCCACTTAATATTCACTGCCGTACATTTCACTTTCATCTTCTAGTCTCCTGTATTTAGGAATAAGAGATGAGCCCACACCTATTACCACCTGGGCTTCACAGGGTAATGTATTGTTGTGTGTAAAGAAATGCTTTTTCTTCAAGTCTGTCCCTAATCCTTTTAAAAAAGGGATATATGTATATATATAACCCCCAGAAGTTTTCCACTTTCTCAGGAAGTTTTCTCATGCACTTTGCAATCAGCTCCTTATCCCACACCCAGCCCTTAGCAACCACCAATCTATTTCCTGTTCCTTTAGCTTTGTTTTTTCCAGAATGTGACATAAATGGTCTCCTAAGTATGGAATCTTTTCAGTCTAGCTTCTGTAGCTTAGCATAACGAGGCTGAAATTCATCCATGCTGGTGTGTCAGTAGCTCCTTTCTTTTGCTGACCAGCAGGGTGCCATTATATGAATGAACCCCAATTTATCTCATCACCTGTTGAGGGACATGTGGGTCTTTCCAGTTTTTGGCAATAAAGAATAAAGCTGCCAGTATAAACTTTCCCCTACAGGTTAAGAAGGGCTATTTTTCATTTCCTAAAGCTGTCAGTGGAAAGGGTATAGAGAGAAGGTTGCTAGAGGTAAAGCATGTTGTCCAAGAGGCATAAATGGGGTGAGGGAGCAGCAGCAACGGGGGGCTAGCAGAAAGGGGGGCTTGGCCTTGACTGGGGCGCAGGCCTTGCTACGCAGAGGGGGGTGCATTTCCCCACAAGTCGTCTTCCCCACACCACTCGGCACTGAGTGTTAATTAGCATGATAGAAATTCCTCGAAGAGTAATTCTTTTTCGCAAGAAAACACACACACACACACACACACACACACACACACACTCTCTCTCTCTCTCTCTCTCTCCCTCTCCCTCTCCCTCTTTCACAGTGAGGGACGTCGCAGACTAAAACAGGAGCGCGTGTGGGGTGCTGGCGGAGCCCAAGGCGAGCAAGCTCCGCGTACAGTAGGCTCGGGGCCGCGGCTTACCTGCCTCCGGCCCAAGGCGCCCCCGAGCCATGTCCCTGCGCGGGCGACCCTCCCGGAGGCGGCCCCTCCCCACGGCCCGGCCTCCCCGTCGCGGACACCGGGGCGCCTCGGTAGCGGGGTCAGGTGGCACCCCCTGCGGCGGGCGAGCTGGGTGCAACGGCTCCGTCTCACTTTCGTTTCTGCAGAAGGACTTCCCCTCGGAAGAGGAGGCTGCGGGGCGGGGCCGAGCCGGGGAGGGGCGCTCCGGCGGGTCACCAGTCTAACCCTCCCTCCCGCGCAGGCGATCTCGCCTAGATACTTTCTTTAGGAAAGCAGCTAAAATTGAGCTCATAATTCCCCTCACAGGCCTTCCCAGGAATACGGGGGATGAAGGCAAAGGACAACAAAGACGCAGCGCTCCGGACAAACAGCCTGGGGCTGCCCTCTGTCCCCCAGGTCGCTCCCGGAAGTCCTGTGTCCCCGTGTGGATGACATGGGGGCAGAGCTCTCCAAATGACTGAGCTCCCCGCTCTGGGCTGTTTCCTAGCAAGTCGGAAACTGGCCTGAACATACAAAGCAGGACAACCGTACAGCAACCGAACAATTTAGGATCTACATCAAAAACCATCCTATACCACCATTCCTCCAGCCAGGCGGGGTTAAACACTTCACATGCATTACCTCCATCTTCACAGCAGCTCTATCAGGTGGACATTATTCCCAAATTACAGGTATAGAAACTGAGGTTTGACTAAAGCCCTAGGGCTGCTAAATCCAGGTCTCTGCGGAAATCTCGGTCTTCACCACCACTGCACACACTCGTTACACCACGGCATCCCCCAGGATAATTTGTGGTATCTATAGGGGAAAATCCAATTGATTTCATCATCAGGCTTATACACTTGCTCTCTTTTGTTCAAGGTATCTAGGAAAACATTGAACAGATCAATTATAGTTAACAATAGCCAACCCCCCTGTGAGAAATTTCTTATTGTGTGTTTAACCTTGACGTTATCCCCATTGCTTGTGAGATTTACAAGGCTGTCCTTCCCGGCACTGTCTCTAGCTCATGCCCTTTCTCTGCCATCCTCTCGCTGTGTGCATCCTCGGTGTCAGTCACCCCCAATGGCACAGTTCTAGGCAGTGTGCTTTTTCCTTCCCTTCTGTGCTTTGGCACATTCTGTTCCTTGGCTTAGAATGTACTTCCTCCACTGTTTGCGGTGAAATAGACTTTCAAGATCTGCTTCAAATATTACCTCCTAGGAAAGCCTTACCCCTCTCCAGGAGGGGGAGTGGATGCAATTCATGGTTCCATATTTTGTACTTCTCTGTTACTCAGCACTTAACCCTCCTAAAGCGCTCTCACCATCCTCTGAAAACGCCTCATTCAATCACTGAAGAGAACTTCATAAGCACTTAATATGTGCCAGATACTGTGTTAAGTGCTGAGAACAGGACAAAAGTAAAGAGCCCCATGGATCAGCTAATAGTCAGCCTGGTGGGGAAGACGGACACTCAATAGTCATCACGATGTTGTGAGAATTACTTGCTTATGTCTGCCTTTAGAGCTGTAAAGTCTTCTGGGGTCCACGAAGCTGTGTCATACATCTCCACATTCCCCCTCATAGTGACCTTCAGAGAACTGATTAGCTGACTGAATAATTGATGGCTCCGTAGAAAAAACAATGGGCAAACAGTGGCATAGGAACTTCACAAGAGGAAATCTTAAGTATTGATAAACATATGAAATGGTGCTCTATCTTATAACAGGGAAATGCATAGTAAAGCCGGTGAGCTACTGCCCATCCACCAGACAGGCAACATTAACCATCTGATCAGACCAGGTGGGAGCAAGGATACAGAGCAACGCCTGGTTACCACAGGAAACCAGTTTACCATAATCTAGGCAAGGAGTGAATACACACTCCCTACAATCTGACAATTACACACAAGTACAAGTTCATAGTTGCATTATTCCTAATAGCTCCCAACCTGGAAATAATCCAAATGTCCATCAAAAGTATAATAGGTAAATGGTGGCATATGCCTATGATAAAATACTATACAGCAACAAATAGGAAAGAACTATAACTACATGCATCGAGGTGGATAATTCTCTAAATGTGTTATTTAGTGAAAGAAGCCACATACATACTATGTGGTTCTGCTTATGTAATGTCCCAAACCAGGCAAAGCCAAACTACAGTATGCACTGCATGAAGACAGGGTGGGGGTTACCTCAGGGAGGGAGGAAGGGGGGTGTGACTGGGAAGGAGTATTCTGAGTGCGGATAAATTTCTTGATTCTTGACTTGGGTGAAGGTTACATATATGGCTGCCTTCCAGTAATTCATTAAGTTATACACTTATGCTTTGTGCACATTTCTGTATTTATGTGCTATACTTCACAATTTTAAAAGACTCTTCCTGTAGCAATTCCAGACTATCTTCCCATCTTCTATCTCCCATTTAAGTAAAATGAATTATGTCTTACCTCTGCTTTCTTGCCTTCTGGCTAAACAATCCCAAAGCCTTTAACACTTCTACAAGAATGGTCCAGAAAAGCCTTAATCACTGCTACTGTGCAGGGGAGGCTGTACCGCTGCTGCCCTCATCCCTTTTAATCTAATATAGGATGTAGTGGTGAAGCAGAAAGAGGAAATGGATTTCCTAAACAGAGGGTCAGTTTATGCCTTGAAAGAACAACTGCTCTTGTCATTTAATCTTAGCAGCTCATGTAACTGCAGACAGTCTTATTCATAAATGTTTCGTCTCCTCCCCTCAGTAACTGTTCCAGCTCCCAGAGGGTTTTGAGGTAGTGATGTAAACCTTTGTGCCATTCTATTGTAGGGATTTGACAAGTTGGATGAAGCTCTTTAAAAAACTAACCAAAGTAACAGGTTGACAGCAGAAAATTCCAGAAAAGACAGACAAGCAAATACAGTCAAAATGACCCCAATCTTCTGTTCTTAATTCACAGGTGCCCACCCTTCCCACATTTTCCCTGTGTGTACAGGCACCACGAACACCTAGGTGCTCCCCTCCTAATGCAGGTGCTCACCTCCTGGGGGGCCTGTGTCTGCTGCCTGGCTGTGAAGTAACCCCAAAGGCAAATCCTCCTGTGTACATACCACCTAAGGGTATTTGCTAACAATTCCCTTAATGATTAAGAGTTACTGTCAAAAAATAAGGTGTGCATAAAAATGCCCTTCACTCAGCATTCTTGAAAGCCTGGCTTCCACATAACACTGCCAAGCTCCAGCCCCACATGCGCCTTGCTGGGCTTGGATCTGACCAGTTATGGGCAACGATGCATTATCATCTGGGCTACTAAGTTGGTTGTAGTTTCCAATCCCTGCTATTCTTGCTTTTTAACTATAAATCACTATCAGTCTGGCTCTGTAATGATTAATTTGGCTTGTTGTGAATCTTCTGTTTAACCTTACTGCGTGCAGGAATGCATATTTGCAACAACAGTCTTTTTATCTATCATTTCCTATAACCAGACTTCACTGCGCATATGGGCTACATCCAATTGGATCATCCATCTCCCTACTGGAAAGCAGATGTCTGCAAACTCCTTCAGTATTTGCTCATAAGTGATACTCGACAGAAATGTACTGCCTGTAAATGTATGCTATTTAACTTGCAACCTATTATCCAACAAAGTAACAAATTACTAAGTTATTTTTAAGTACCGGGGCATTATTTTAGAACAGGATATTCACCCTAAATGAACTCATGTTCTTAACTCCTAGGAAATACGTGATAAGCAGTTCATAGATTTTCCAGGCACAAATTTATTGCCCTCCTTTTTTTGTTGTTTCTTTTCAATTCTTTATCATTGGGTTTTTGTATTTCACTCAAACAGCTAATGCCACATCAACATATTTTTTAAAATTCTCAGTCTTCCCACAATAACTGCACTGGCTTGGATAGCCTATAATGCTTTCTGTAGACAGAACAGTGAGTCGCCTAACTGGCTGAGTGTTCCACAGCTGTATTATGCTCATGTATAGTCTATAGATGTTCAGAACTAGACTGGATTTTGAAGTTACAAGAAAATAAGAGATGACTGAGATACTCCCAGAAGAAACAGAGGTCTCCAAAAATGGCTAAGTGCCTGAACCCAGTCAAAATTATCTTGTAAAGGAAATAAAAGTAGCATTTATGAACTATAGATGCCAGGCACTGTGATAGTAGGTTCATTTATTAAAGGTGTAATATTAGTAATAATGTCAGAACAGTAGTAATAATAATGGCTAACAAGCCTGGGCTGAATATTTTACATGTAAGTTTGCACAGTCAAGGTGTATTTAGTCTCCTAATGAACCTGCAAGATGATACTATACAACTTGTGGTTTTATGCATTGAGTCCTGACACCCTTAAACTGCCTCTCCTCTGTTAGATCAGTCTGTCAGTTCATCCCTGACTTCTAGCTTTGGCGCTGGCCAGCACAGAGAGGTTCAGCTACTGGCCCACTTCTGGGTTCCACTGAGTCAGGATCCAAAGGGGGGACCTTCCCTCACTCTTGCCTACTCTTCCTTTTCTTCCCTGTGACTGAACCTGTGAATAGCTGGGCTCAATCCCAGCTTTCTGCAAGGGCAATGTCCCCATCTCCATGGCTTATAGGAAGCAGAGGGGAACAAGCATAGCCCCATTGCAGGCAAGCGTGAAGGCCACCTCTGCCCCTGAGTTCTGCAGTATTTCCTGGGGATCTCACCAACAGCCAAATGCAGAAAGCCAATTTGCCAAATAGCCAAATCCCTGAATGACGAATTTATTAAACAACAAATATGCTGACTTTACTTTTTTCTTTACGCTCTCTAGTCTTAATTGACCAGTTTTTATTCTGTCTTCGTAACAGAATTAGAGGAAATGTATGTTGTCTATCTCCCTGTTGCTGTAGAGCTGGAGACCAGGGGACAGCGGGAGGGGGTGAGGTTCAGGGGCTCTTACAGAACTGACTTTCAGTGGACTGATTTTCTGGGACTGACCGACAGCCATTTCCAGATGCTAAGGTGTTCATTCCAAAGGGAATGAATAAGGCTTTGCTCTTCCTAACACACACCTTTAAGAGCATTTCTTGCAGCACTGACAACTTCACAAAAATTTCCACCTACAGAGAAGAAGGTAGGTGAAGATGGAGCAGAGAGAGATTTGAAGACGTTGGCCTTTACGACTGGAATGATGCGACCACAAGTCAAGCAATGCAGGCAGCCACCAGAAGCTGGA